AGTAAGATGTTGGTAAATAAACACAGATGGAAGTACTATAAACACGCTTTCGTTTATACCTCTTCAATCTTGCGGGCCAAATCCATCTTCCTGGCCTCCAACGACTTCTCCAAGTCATCTCTACCGGTGTTCATCTTCTGTACCACGCGTTCAAGCTGCTCCACCTTGTTCCGTAGCTTCTCGTTCAACTCCCGCTCTTTAGCCAGCTCATCTTGCAGCCGCTGATCCGCAATCCATTTCTCTGCGAAGTTGATGAAAATCACGCAAAAAAGCAAAACGATGTTGAAAAGAAAGACGTTAGACCTCAGGCTTGATTAGAAATCCAGGTTCAGAGGTTGTAAAAAAATCATCACTTGACGCATCAGTGCAGCTGTACCTGTATTGAAGTTTACTGGATCATCTTGATCTTCAACAGTCTGATTATCATCCTTCGTAGAATCCACCCAAGCAGCAACGTTCGCGAGTTCCTTGACATCTGCTTTCAGGCAACCTTCTGATTCATCCTCTGCTTCCTCTGTGGAGGCACCGTCACAGCTTTGATAGTCCGAGATTGTCGACGGTCTATCTCGAGTATCAAGCTCTGTGTCTTCAGCTTCATCATCTTCTTTCTTCGTATCCTCATCAACAGGCAGGAGCAATACACCCTTGGCTCCCCCAAGTGGGCTCGTCATGGCACGGTGTGACTGCAAATCCTCCTTGACACGATTGGCGACTGGCGACGAATGCCCTGCTACGGGCTGTTTTAAACCGGCCGTTGCTGGTGCTTCATTTTCGGAATCGTCAGCGGAGATGCTGGCAACTTCCGTCCTAATGGAAGACTGGTTTGAGTCAACGCAGGTTGACTCACGAGCTTTGATCCCTACGTCAGTCTGACTAGCTGTGAAACTGTTGGTTTCGCTTTCTATCGGTGGCATCGGAGAAGGGTTACTGGCCTCCAAACTTATGCTGTTATCCGGAATCTCCTCCTTGGTATTCTGCCTCACGACCTCAGATGATTCTTCTGCTAGACTCCCCTCACTAATCTGGCATGCGGTTGCTGCCTGACTAGCCTTAATCTCCTTTCCGTCTTCCAATGCCATGACCTATGTGCACGCTGAGGACAACTATAATTTGTCCAGCAACGATATGGTGCTGTAAAAAAATCTAAGGTAGAGTGTGTTTCAGTCGGACGGCCTTTGCGATGGAGTTCAATGTCAGTTGATGGATTGCCAGAAAGAGAAAAGTTTTTCCGTCTCACAAGAACGAACAGTAAGACGAAAGCTAATTCAGAATCAATGAAGAGGCACCGCTGCAGCAATGATCCCCTCCCCTTCTTGGTTCAGCTGGGTGTGTCTCACTGCAAATTCGAAGACTGGTGCTCTCAGCTTCATTCCTTGTTTCTTCCTGTCATCCTATCTCGCTGATCTCAACGAGCCGCATTCGCTCCTGCCTGCTATCCTGTACCCAAGATTTCCCGCCTGTAACATTCTCATGCAAAATTGGCAGAGGTGTCTGAGCAGTGGAAGTTTGAATTCTGCGCGGGAACAGTCAGAGCCAGAAGCTCCGATACAGCACCTCGGTTGTGGAAACTGAGACCTTACAGAGTCGGAGGCAGGAAAAGCAGTATACCTTTCATATATGCATTAGCCAGCACTTCCTATTTATACATCTCACATGCATAGATAAGTGCTTACATATAAAGATCATTATTTTATAAATACAGAACATGTCATTACTAAAGTATCAATACTGGTCAATCATTATTAGAGAATTTATTCCGCATTGGAGAGAAGAACGGAGTGCTACTAGTTAAATTAATTTCTAATGCCGCTCACCATAACGGAAAGACTGTTTACGAGGATTTGTGCGACAAGGCGAGCCCATCGCACAACCAAGATCAGTTGTTTTCAGGTGAGCTTCCAGCACTCACATCTCCTGAAACCGTTCCATCATTGCGACGACATTCCGAAGTGTTTGTTCTCCTCTCTCCCTGCCGGACTTCACGCCCACAGCCTCTTTGCTGTTTAGTTGCGACGTTGTGCATTGTAGCGTCGTGCGCCCACAATGACGGGTGTCGGATACGCCGGCTCAGGCGGTCAACAACCAATAGCACGAAATCAAGCCCCTCAGAAGCCGTTGTACAACAAGGAGAGACCTGATGAACACGCGAAATACCTCAAGAAGCATCACCATGATGAACAGGCCACAAGTGAGCGTCTATCCGTTCACCTTGATTGCTCTCTGGAGACTGGATGTTTCCGATAAGTTTGACAAGGAACTTCGCCCGTCTCTCTCTCTCTCTCTTACTCTTTTCTAGGCAGTTCTTTATCCCCCAACTCGCTGCTCCACTGTTACATCTTCAAACTCATTTTTAGAGGGAGTCAAGGTCATACTTTTTCCTCTCACTTCCCTCGTCGTTCCTAAATCCGTTGCAGCTACACCACTGAGCCTCGTGGTTGGCCCATCCGCTCCTGTTGGAGATCATGCTTCGGACTCACAACCAGCCGACGTGCAGCATGGCAAAGCTTCCCATAATCACCACAGTGGTAGCCACATTCACAGTCTTCAAGCCCCAGTGCAGCGTCCAGACCATATTGTTCCCATAGTGGGCCCGCATTAATAAACATTGTTTCGTTTCGTCACTCTCTCAGCGCGCTCTTTATTGTTAACTCTCTCTATTGGTACCTCTACCCTTATCTCCACAACTTCCTACCATACGTTCTTTACCCCGCCTTCCTTGGATACTCTACCATCCCCTCGACTGCCCCCACCCTTCATCCCTGTTTCTTTCACCATCTCTTCCCTGTGTGTCCCTGTGTCCTTATCTGTAACCCCCGTTCTCCAGTAGCGTTGTTTGTTGCCCCCCTGCTGTTCACACTCCTCCAATGCTGATGCAACAGCACCAGCTGTACTAGTCTTAATAAACATAGCAAATCGGAAATGCACAGGGGACTTTAGTGGCTTTCACTGAATGGTCCTTGTTGATGCATACATAAAGTGAGATAAACTTGTACTGTATGCGTTCTATCTGGTGCAAGTGTAGTGAATAACGTTTGATTATGTCACTTCGAAGTCTCCGAGCGAAACCTAGCGAAAAGTCAAATACCAAATCTGGATATGACGTTATATTACGTGGCAGATCGCAAATGTTCCGCTGAACAAGCCGAGCCAGCTGGTAAACCAGCTTGCACTTGTTTCATTTCGTGAAGTCGAGTTTTAGCGAACTCGTGATATGTATTACACTGCGCAAGCCATCCCGATTCCTGATTCCCGAAGTCATTCCGCCGTCGCCTGAACGAAAGTCGGACTCTGCAGCTTCACAACGCAACGCAATGCACCCTCTTTCTCGCCATTGTGAATTCGGTTATAATGAAGTCAAGATGGGAAAAGCACGGTTAACGGTGGTTAAATCACGTTTTGATATGGTTCAATTAGGCAAATCGAAGATAACAAGGTTTTCCACCTGTTCGGCACAGTTCAGTGCAACGCAACACACTCGATTGGCTATCCGCCATTCCTCCCCTTCCGCGACTTTCTTCCTCCGCGCATCCAGCAGTGCTGCATTCTCTTTCCCCCAAAGCCGCCGAGCCGCTAGGTAGCTGAAGCTGGTTCGTCGAACCCACATTCTTCGCGTGCTTGCCACTCCTTCGCCAGGACCTAGAGCGGACCTCCGTTGCGCCGGCGCCAGCGCCAAGTCCACCCTTCCCCCCTCCCTCTCCCCCTTCCACCCATCCAAGCAATCAGCCAATCCCATTCCTTCGCATTATATCTCAGTACGCTTGGCTGGTACTGTACCAGCCATCCTACCGCCAGTTGCGGCGGACATCGGATACAAAGGGAACGCGTTTCTTGATTCCGTCATTCCCATTCCATTGGCTCACGCCACTGAGTCGGGCGGCGCCCTTCTCGTACGTTCAGCGAAATTCATCGTTTCATCTATCCTTGAGTTCCCCCCACATGACTTGCTGCCTTCTTTACTGAACAGAAGCACCCAGGCCAGTCCAGAGACGCGATATTTCACGAGAAATGGATGCAGTCAAGCACGCAATGTGTCAACGTGGCAAGTTACTACTGCAGGCGACCTAAACTTGCGACTCTTCTGAAGGAAGGCGGCTGCGTTCTTCTTTATCCGTGTGTAGCGCAAGGCTGCCGGATTTTTCTGACCTTGTGTGCTTTTATGGATGTGCTGCAGCATTCTCGCATCACATGGGATAACAACAGAACTCCTTGCGCCCCCGTTTAGCCTCATCCCCCACATATCACTGTCCCACATTCGCATTCATCCTGATGCTTGCTCTTCCTTCGAGGCATCTATCCGATCCCTTTCCTACGCCACACGAGAATTTAGCTCATATAATCGCGTAGACGGTATCTTATTCAATTCCTTCGAAAACCGCAGATGACTACTACAAGCCGGACTAAAAGCGCTAGTGAGCGACTGTATCCGTACGGACTTCTTCCTGACGGTTCAAGATAACGCCCTTCAGAGCTGACCCGATTTCCAGTTATCTAATGCGCGCAGTCCCAATCGTCACAACTAAAACCGCCCACCGCTGCTCGTTGCATTGCTAATTTATCTATCTCCAAGCCACGGACGGATTCTTCATCGCCATATCACCGTCCTGTGAGCCCGAGCACGTGCGGCGCGAGTGAGCCCGTTTTAGGCGCGAGTGAGCCCGTTTTAGGCGCGAGTGAGCCCGTTTGGCGGCACTGAATGCACGCGGCGCCAAATGCCATCCGCCGTATGTTGCGCGCTGCGCTCGCGCTGGACTTGACATCTCATTGTACCGCCTACTGGGCTTGCAATGGCGGCCACAAACCACCGTTTTGCTCCCTACATTCTGAACCTTTAGGAATCGGGAGACATCGGCTACTACGCTAATAATTTCCGAAATCCCGCAGCAAAAAGGCCTAGATTTCCGGTGGAAACACGCAGCAGGAGACGCGAGCGGGGGAACTAGGCAACCATTTCAACAAGCTACAGCTAAGAACTGCCGGTGCTGCGATCCCCACTGCTAGCAATGGCGGATGTGCGCGTCTCCCGCAACCGCGACAGCGACCATGGACGGGCTGCCGTCGCGGAATCCGCGCATGACACGTCCGCGGCTATTCCGCGTCAAGACCATCACGCTGCCGCGCATCATCGTCAGTGCGAAAGGCCATTCGACCAGCGTCAGGTGCCGCACGCGCTGCCGCAACAGCCCCCGCAGACGTTCCACCAGCAGCAGCAGCAGCAGCAGCAGCAGGAGGAGCCGCAGCCGCAGCAGCAGGAGCAGCAGCAGAAGGAGGAACACGCAGGCTTCGGTTTTCGCCCATGTGGACCCCAGCCGCCGCCGGCGCCGCCGCTGACGGTCGCAGCGACTGCGACGGCCAGGAGCGCTTTGGACGTAGCGACAGGCCCCGCAGCAGTCGGAGGACTGACTTCAAGTGGCGAGATTTGCGCCTCGGCCTCTCTCAGGCTGCCCCGGAATCTGCCCGCTCCCCCGTTCGCCACAATCCCCTCCGCCTCATCCATCTCCTTCTCCGCTTCTCAGGACAAACCACTCGCATTGCGCCTCCCTGCCGGCGCCCCCGGCACCGCCGCCGCATATCCCCGCGCTGCGGCCGCCACGGGCGCTTCTGTCGCGGCTCCGTCATGCACGCCTTCGATATACTCGTCAAGCAACTCGTCTCCCTCCGCGTCGCTCCCGCTCTCCACACCCACTCCCGTCGCGGTCCCCCCCGCTTCCTCCCCCCCGCCGCACCCGTCCGCCGTCGAGTCCGCCGTCGCGCCCTCCGGAGGAACATCTATTTGCGCCATTTCCCGCCAGCGCCTCTCCCGCTGCGCCGACGGAACATCCGCGAGAGGTTCCGCCAGCGGCGCAGGCGTCAGCGATGGCGGCGGCGGTGCAGCGCCGGCGAATCGTTCAGCGTCGTTCTCGTCGGCCAGTGCTGGGTCGCTGACCGTCGCAGGGACGCATGCGACGCACGCGACTCAGGCGACTCATGCGCACGCGAACGCTGGGGGAGCGCTGGAAGAACCAACCACTGCTGCTACAACCGGCGGAGCTGCTACAGCCGGCGCAGGTGCTACAGCCGGTGCAGCCAGCGGAGCCGGTGCAGCGGTTACAGCGGACGCGTGTGGCAGCGGCACTGCTTCTGCTGCCGCCCAGGCGTCAGGTGCTGCCGCCCACGCACCAGGAGCTGCAGCGACTGCTGGTGACTCAGCTCCATCGAGTGGCCCCAAACGTCTCACCCAGCATGCTCCCTCCTCCACCCACCAAATGCGACTCGTCCTGCCCTCACTCACGCTCCCAACAACCCATCCCTCTTCTGCTCCTCCGTCCTCTCCTCCTCATCCACTTCCCCCTCCTACTCCAACTCCTCCTACGCCTACTACTCAAGTTCCTGCTGCTGCTGCTGCTGCTGCCGCCGCCGCCCCTTCCCCCTCGGCACACCCGCTGCTCTCCGCCTCGTTCTCCTCCTCCTGCTCTCGCCCTCTGCGTCTTCCGCCTGGCCTCTGCTTCTCCCCCACCAAATCCGCCTCCGCTGCGCCGCATGCCTCGCCTGCAGTGCTTTCGAGCTCTCTGGGCGCTCCCACCCCAACGCATCCCGGAGCCGTTGCTGCTTTTGAGGCGCCTCAAAAGTCGCTAGGAGATTCCATCCCAACGCATCCCGGAGGCGCTGCTGCTGCTGCAGCAACGGCAGAAGCAGCAGGTGGAGAAGGAGGAGATGCGATGGGAACGGCGAGAGGGAGCGTGAACGGGACTATCAACGAGCTGGAAGAGCCAGCAGCCGTTGCACTCAGGGTAGCAGCGACAGCAGCACCGGTACCAGCAGCAGCAGCAGCAGCAGCAGCAGCAGCAGCAGCAGCAGCAGCAGGGGATGGAAGCTTCCCTGATCTAGATGCACCAACAGCGGCGGAGAGCGGCGGCGGCGGCGGCGGAGGTGGTGGTGGTGGTGGTTGTGGAGAGAAGATAGCCGGTGCAAATGTGGAGCACAGGGGGAGAGGAAGCGAAGGGAATGCTGGTGAGACGCCTGGCACGACTGACGGCGCACCTGTTGCACCTGTTCCGACAGAGCCAGAGGGAGAAACGGCAGGACCCCACAGGCAGGGCGTGCCCGTGGACGCAAGGCCAAGGCCAAGGCCAGTGACTGAGACACACCATGATGGTGCGACTGCAGGTAAAGGCGGCGGACGAGGCGGAGGGGGGGGCGGGGGCGGAGGGGGGGGAAGAGGGAGGGGCGGGAAGCAGCAGAGCAAGGAGGTGAGATCGGCGCGGGTGAAAGCGGAGGTGGTGGAGGAGGAAGGAGGGGGGGACGGGCCGCTGGGGCCGGTGGGGAAGCAAGGGGAGGTGGCAGGAGGGGGTAGAGGCAGCAAGAGTAGAAGTCGCAAGGGAAAGGCGAGTGCTGCTGGCGCTGGTGCTGCTGATGCTGGTGGTGATGCCGCCACTGCTGATGCTGCAGCGGAGCAGCAACAACAGCAGGTGGAGGCAGCAGCAGGAGGGAGTGGCAGCGGGAGAGGCGGGAGAGGCATCAACGTGGGGATACGGCGGCGATCAGCCAAGAGCAAGGCGCATGGAGGTGGAAAGGGAGGTGCTGGTGGTGCCAATGGTGGTGCCAATGGTGGTGCCAATGGTGGTGCTGATGGTGATGAGAGTTGCTTGGAAGCGAAAGGAGGAGGCGGTGCGAAGCAGGGGCAGCGGGGGAAAGGCAGGAAGGGAAAGGCGAAGGCTGCTGCGGACGAGCAGCAGAGGAACGAGGGAACAGAAGGGGACGATTCAAAGGAGCAGGCAGAGGAGGCGGTGGAGGGAGGTGGTAAACGCTCGGCGGCAGGAAAATCGGGCCGGAAAGGAGGAGGCTCAGCTGCTGACGCTCGCAGCAGGGACGCTCGTGCTGCCGCTGCTGCTGCTGCGGTTGCCGCTGTTGCTGCTGCTGCTAAGAATAAGAATGGTGGCGGCAGTGCGACCACAAGCGGGGACCACGATTATCACTGCGACGACGACGACGAGGTGGGGAACGGCGAGGAGGAGAACGATGGAAAGGAGGAGAACGAGGAGAATGAGGAGGAGGACGAAGACGCGTTGGGGCGCATGACCCAGGAGCAGATCGAGGCTCTGGAGGTGCGCTTTCAGCAGAACCGGCGGCTGGATACAGCAAGGAAGCTGGTGCTAGCGGGGGAGATCGGCGTGCGGCCGCGGCAGGTGTCTGTATGGTTTCAAAACCGGCGCGCGCGGTGGCGGCAGAAGAAGAAGGAGAGTGATTTGAGTGCGATGCAGAGGGAGTATGCGCGGTTGAAGGTGGCGCGGGAGCAGCTGGGGGAGGACTATGAGCTGCTGAAGAAGGACTATGAGGACCTGCTGCTGCATAATGCTGCGCTGCATGATAAGGTGAGGGGTGGGGTGCGGTGGGGTGGTGTGGGATCGGGTATGGTGTGGTGGGGCGTTGTGGTGTGGTGTTGGGTGAGGTGGTGTGCGGTGGGGTGGGGTGGCGATTGAAGGTGGCGCGGGAGCAGCTGGGGAAGGACTATGAGCTGCTGAAGAAAGACTATGAGGACCTGCTGCTGCACAACGCCGCGCTGCATGATAAGGTGTGCGGTGGGATGGGGTGGGGTGGGGTTGGGATGGGGTGCGGTGGCCTGGGGGTGGGATGGGATGGGTTGCGATGGGATGGTTTGGGGGTGGTGTGGGGATGTTGTGGTTTCAGCCCTTCGACACTGATCCAGTGGTCAAGTCACCTAATTCAGTCGCCTTATTTTATTTTACCAGAGCTGACCCCTTCCATCCCTCCCCTCCTTCCCATCTCTCCCCCCTCCTCCTCGCAGGTGGACGACCTGATGGCGCATCTGGTGCAGCACGGCACGGCATGCTATCCTTGTTAAGTCGACTCAAGAGTCAGCTCTCCCCCCTCCCTTTGCTCCTCTCAGGTGGACGATCTGATGGCGCACCTAGTGCAGCATGGCATGCTATCCGCCTCCACCTCCTCCTGCCTGCGAGACGCTCTCCTCACAGCCGGCCCCCTCTCTCCCGCCAACACCACCACCAGCCCCCTACCTCTCCCCAGCGACGCCGCCACCACCCTGCCTGCCGCCGAGCCTAGCGCGCAGGCCTGGGCGGCCGCCGCAGCTGCTGGCTCGGCAGCCGCCTTGGGGGTGGGTGGTAGGGGCGCCCCGTCCCCCTCTGCTGCTGCTTCTGCTGTGGCGTATGGTGCCGGTGGCGGCATGTGGGGAATGGGAGGGGTAGGAGGAGGAGCAGACGGAGAAGAAGGAGGGATAGGAGGAGGAGTGGGAGGAGAGGAGTGGGTAAGCTCCGGAGGTATTTCCGGCATGATAGCAGATGCTGCTACAGCAGCAGCAAGCACAGGCATGGGTGCAGCGAGCGCCGCGACAGCCGCCGCATCAGCCGCAGCCTCCGCGGCCGCATCAGCAGCAGCAGCAGCAGGAGGCGGCAGCTTTTCCGAGCAGCCAGCAAGTGCATTCTTCCCACAGCCTCCAGACATGCTCTTCGACTCCTGCCTGCCACCACCCCTGCCTCCAGAACTCGACCCAGACCTTTTCAACCCCTGCCCGCCCACCAGCCCCGGCAGCAGCAACCACCACCTAGCCTACCCGTGCAGATGTAGTCCTACGAGTGGTGCTGCTGGTGGGTCGGCTGCTGGTGGTGGTGGGTATGGGTCAGCACTGGGTGGGTACCCTACAACAACGTCTCTCTCGTCGTCTCCTGCGTTCAGTGTTGCTGCTGCTGCTGGGTGGTGTAGCGAGTCGTATGGGGATCACAGCAGGGAGCGTGGCGATCGAGTGAACCTGCTTTCGGGTTCGGTTGCTGCTGGCTCTGCTGCTCGTTCAGGTGCTGCTGCTTCTGGTGCTGCTGCTTCTGGTGCTGCTGCTTCTGGTGCTGCTGCTTCTGGTGCTGCTTCTGCTGCTGCCTCTGCTGCGGCCTCTGCTGCTACCTCTGGTGCTGCCTCCTGTGCGATTCGGGCAGGCGAGGAGGATGGGAAGGGGTGGGAACGAGGAGGAGGGGGAGGTGCGAGAACACAGCAAAGGGGAGGAGGAGCAAGTTTTCTTGCTCAGTCTCCTCACTCTGCCGACGCTGTGGCTGCTGCTGACGCTGCTGCCGCTGCTGCCGCTGCTGGCGCTGCTGGCGCTGCTGGTGCCTCTCTTGAGGCACCCGCAGTTGCAGCTTCAAATGCTGCTCCTACAGAAGCAGCAGGGAACATCGGTTCTGACAGCCTTCCCCTCCCTCAACCGTCCTCCCAAAGCCAGCCTCTCCCTCTCCATTGCCCGCGCATGCTATCTGTACCTGCTGCTCTTCTCCCTGCTGCACACCCGACCGTGCCTCCCTCTCCCACTCCATATTCCACCCTGAATGCGAATGCACATGTTCGAAGCACCCCACAGGCTCGTTTCCGAGGCAATCCTAGGATCCAGTCTCGGGAAGGCGGAAGAGGAGGAGGAGGAGGCGGAGGAGGAGGAGGAGGAGGAGGAGGAGGAGGAGGAGGAGGAGGAGGAGGAGGAGGAGGAGGAGGAGGAGGAGGAGGAGGAGGCGGAGGAGGAGGAGGAGGAGGAGGAGGAGGAGGAGGAGGAGGAGGAGGAGGAGGAGGAGGAGGAGGAGGAGGAGGAGGAGGAGGAGGAGGAGAAGAAGAAGGATCTACTCCCATTCCCAACTATTTCTTCCCGTCAGCGGCAAACTTGGTAGCAGTGACGGGCTCAATGCAGGAGCAACTGGAGCAACTGGGGGGAATGCATGATGGTATCGAGTCAGGGCCTCCTCCAGCTGCAGGATTGGGCGGCGCATGTGAGCCGTACACGCTGCAAGAAGAGGAAGACATGGTTCCAACACAGCGCATGAGCCCTCCGTACCAGCGTCGCCAGCAGCACCAGCAGCACCAGCAGTGCCAGCAGCAGCAGCAGCAAATCGTGCAGCACCGCAATGAGCAGCAGGTGTACGAGCAGCAACAGGAGCTGGTGAGTCTGTTCGGGGAGAAGCACGAGGAGGGAGAAGAGCAGCTAGTGCAGGCGGGGCAAGGCGCTGGGTGCGTGCAAAGGCGAGTGCATGAGGAGCAGTGGGCGCGGGGACAAGCGCAGAGGGAGCAGGAGGAGCAGGAGGAGCAGGAGCAGGAGGAGCGGCAGCTGATGCAGGAATGGAGTCAGTGGCAGGAGAGGCACGGGGCGGAGGGGGAGGAGGAGACGCAGTACTGGGATGGGGTGCATGCTCGTGGCATTCATGCACACACTGGCAACATCGATGGTACAGAGGCTGCTGGAAGGATGAGCAATTATCATGTGCAGATTCGGCAGCAGCAGCAGCAGCAGCAGCAGCAGCATGAGCAGCAGCGGCAGCAGCACGAGAAGCAACGGCAGCAGCAGGTGTTTGCACCTCTGGTGCAGCGCTCTAGCTCTGCACCTTCTCCGCCCACACCTTCCCCACACATCCTATCCTCCAGTGCCAGCCGCAGCAGTGCCACCGGCATCTATAGCACCATGACTGCTGCTGCCGCTTCTGCTGTCGCCGCTGCTGCTGTCGCCGCTGCTGCTGCTGCTGATGATGTTGCAGGGCTTTGCAGCTCGGAGCAAGAACGCAGCGGTGGGTCTGAGGGAGGTACGGAGGGCTCGCAGGGAAAGGAGAGCCTGGGCGGGAGCAGGGAGGGTAGCAACAGTGGTGGTTGTGCTGCTGATATCGTGCCACCGCAAGGAAGCCCCCCTCTCAGCCGTGATATGCAGCTGACTGAAACTGCTTCATTCTGGCCCGCGCCGCTGTGTGGCGGGGAGAATGGTCCCCATGCAGGGGTAGGAGAAGCGTTTGCTAAATCTGGTGGGGATGCTAGGAGCTCTGTGCGTGATGTGCTTGCGCCCCTTCCCCCCCAGGATGCAGGTTGCCAGCCTGGACATGGGGGGCATCTGGACTTAAACTTGCTGGGTTTTCCTACTCCACCTGCCTCTCCAGGCTTTGATGGGGCAGCCAGGACTGAGATAGAGAACTTGGGTCCTACTCAGGAAGCTGAAGGGATGTCAATGATGCACTGGGCTGACGAGCCTGTTGTTTTTTGAGAGGGTAGATATGGTATTGCGTGTGCGAGGACAGGCTTGTGTTTTTGTGCTTGTTCACATGTGGTTGCTTGAGTTGTGTGTGTTTTCTTTAAGCGCGTTATTGTTATCCTTGCTTTTCTAATTGATGTGAACTCCTATTCTCTAAAATGTTATAGTTCTGTTTAGACATCTCTTCCCGTCGAAACTTGTTACAAGCTTCCCAACCGTTTTGGAGAACCAATGTTTCCGTTGGCTCTCGCGACTTCTGCGGGTTTGGTGGATACACCTTGCGGTACGACGGCTGGCGATCGTTGGTGGCGGGAAGGAAATTTTTTGTTTGCGTTCCATTTTCCCATTGGCCAAACCATGTCTAGCGGGATCGCCTTCACCAGTCGAACAGCGAAGAGCGAAACAAATCACGGGCAGAAAACTAAACAAAACCCCCGTCGCACCGTCGCATGTCCCACGTAAGCACATGAGGAAGGGAGGTGACGGGAGGAAAAATTGCAAATTTCGCAAGTGGTGCGACTCGGCTTGTAATTTGGCGGACATGAGGGCCGCGTCTAGCGCAGCCCCCAGTAGCTCCCCCAAAATGCGTCATGGCTTATGGTTTGAGGGCTCTTGGACTGGTTGGGTAGTTTTGAGTCTGGTTGATCTGGGTTGGGTGCATTCGCGAGCTGGCATCGCTCGCAACGCGGCGTGCAAATGCAACAAAATTGAGATGGCTGCGATGGCAGTCGCCATTCATTCCTAACCGTGGCGGCACAGAACTGACCAAATCTCACCCAATCTCACGAGGAAGGAGGAGACGGCCAGAAACTGAACGCTTAGCTTAGGGATTCTTCGCTGATTGAGGGGCCTCAGTGTCGCTGCGTCCAATATTCTCAGTGATGCTGCATCGGCATAGGCGCCATCTCATTCCTTTCAAAGCTAATTTATCACCAGCGTGAGCAATTCTAACGTGGTGCTACCACCTCAGGTCCAATCAGGGCCAAGTCACTTCTGATGGAACGTCATATTCGGCTCCCTTGTATTCGCTTTCAATAGCTTAGCGACTTTACCTCCTTAGGGTGTGTGAATCTTCGAGTGCTTACCACGCATTCTCGTCAACCCTCTTTGCGACAGAAGGCAAACATAGCGACCCGGATGGCCTAGAATAACGTTTTTTATCATACGAGCAGCGCTTGCTGCCCCTTTGTCCAGTATTCACCTCAACCAGCACCACTTCCTGTCATTTAAGTCCGTCAGTTCCTTTCATTGCAAAACCATAGCGAACCACACCAGTACCCAGCGTTCTGTCACGTGATTTAACCATGGCGTCATCTAGAGCGTTCTCCCTCTACTCCTCCATCCCCTCAGCCGACGCCGCCCCGTCATGTAGAGTCCACCCGGTCTCGGACGATCCGCCGTCTGCGAGCAAGCAGAAACGTCTCGACTCATGTTGCGGTTCATCGCAAACCCTCCCGGATGATCCGCCGTCCGCCAGCAAGCAGAAGCACCCGCCGCGCCGCAGGAGCATCTTGCGCCGGCTAGGCGCCGCCGTGGATCACGGGATTAACTACGTCTTTAGCGGGCTCGCGCGGGTGGTTGCTTTGCATCCGATTGCTGTGCTGGCGTTGACGATCGGTGTGGGCGTGCTAATGGCGTGCGGGGTGTTCAAGATGACCGTTGAGACCAACCTGGAGGAGCTCTACACGCCGCAGGGCAACGTCGCCTTCCAGAACCGGGTGAGGCTCGGTAACGGTGGGTGTAAATGGGTAGGGACTGGTAAGGTTGAGCCGCGTATTACGATGGTAAGGTTGTGAATGGTTGGCCATGGGGGCAAGGCACGGCCTTTCTACTCCCATGCATAGGAACACCTATGGTGCGTTTTACACGAGAATACGTGAATCAGTGCGCAACCCATGTACTTCACCACCAGACTAAGGTGTGGTTCAGAGACGAATATCAACATGCCTTCAGAATGCGTGTACGTCAGTTCCCGAGGGAGCGGTATCTCTTCCGAGCAAGTATGTGTTTGCTTGATTGTACTGTAATCCTGTTTTCATCCCTTCTGTTTTCAATCCCGTGTGCGGGCGGGCGCGCAGGACTACGTGGATTCGCTGTACGGCTACGAGGCGCTGGACGTGAAGGTATTCGTGGTGTCCAAGGGCAACTCCAACCGCACGCTGCTCACCAAACCCGCGCTGCTCGCCCTGCTCGACGTTTACGAGCTAATAACGAGGTAATCCAGCGAGTCCGTGCTCGCCACACATAGAGAGAGTTTACGTTCCCGCGTCGTAGCGAGGTCGTGCTGTGCTGTTGCGTTCCTCTGCTTCCGCCTGTAGATTCGTCTTTGCAGATGTTTCTTAAAGCTCTGAGAAGGTCCAAAGTTTACAAACTTGAAGTCACTTTTTCTTAGCAGGATGCTGGTCTGGTTCCGACCAGCTCACACATGCGGTAGCTAATCCCCCCTTAACCTCTCCTAGTCTCTTCACTTCGCTCATCCGCAGGCGAACCCTCACGCCCCCGTCCCTTCCTCCCCCTCCTCTCCCTCTCGACCCCACCCCTCTGCGGGTTTTTTCACCTCAGGGCCCGTTTCCAGCTGTGTTTCCAGCCTGCTCCTTTGCTATATCATGTCCTCCCCCAACCCCTTCCGCCCCCTCCCTCTCGCAGCGTGAACGCGACGTACAACGGGTCGACGTTTAACTACGCGGATCCGCGCATCTGCTACCGGCCGGGCGGGCAGAACACGCCGTGCCAGGTGGTGAGCGTGCTGGACTACTGGGGCTACTCGCGCACGGCCATTCAGCGCGATAAGGACATCATGAAGACCATCAACAACCCCTTCGTGCTCGTACGTCGCCCCTCTACACTCTACTGAATCTATCTCATATTCACTCAAACGAACGCTGCGGACGTCCTTTACTGCGTCCATCCGCGACCCACCCATCCCGCTTCCCCTTTCCCCCGTCCCTTCACCAGACGCGGTACGGGCAGCCAGTGCCGCAGGACTGGGTGGTGGGCGTGCAGACGAAGAGCGCGGAGTCGGGCGAGATTGCGGAGGCCAAGGCGTTTCTGCTGACGCTGTTCGTGCAGAACAACAAGGGGTGCTCCGGTAGCAGCTGCAAGGACTACCTCGTCGAGGAGTGGCAGAAGGCCATTGACGCGCCCGTCCGCGCGGTGAGCGAGCTGGGGGGGAGAGGAGCTTCGGAGGGGGGGAGCAGCTGGGGTGAGGGATGGTGAGGGCTTCAACTTGTGAGCGTGGTGTGTGTGATGTTAGGTTGCGCCAGCCCCTCCCCCTTGGTAGCAGCTGCAAGGACTACCTGGTCGAGGACTGGCAGAAGGCCATTGACGCGCCCGTCCGCGCGGTGAGCTGAGGAGGAGGGGAGAGCGGAGGGAGGGAGGTGGGTGAAAGAGTTCAGGTGTTGACTGGCGTGCGTGGTGTGTGTGTGGTCAATCCGGCCCCTCACCCCCGCGCCTCTTCCCCTTCCCCCCCCCCGGTTGCCGACCCTGCTCCTCCCCACTCCCCCGCGGCAGTATTCGAGCGACGAGATCGACGTGTATCTGCTCTCCTACTGGGGCCAGCAAGCGGCGAGCGACAGCGCGCTGACCGCGGACGTGAACCTCTACTTCGTCAGCGCGTTCCTCCTGCTCGCGTACAGCGTGCTCATCCTCTTCCGCCGCCACCCCGTGCACTCGCACTGCTACCTCGCGCTCGTCAACATCGCGTCCGTGACGCTCGCCGTGCTGGGCTCGTACGGGCTCTGCAGCCTGTTTGGGTTGAAGTTTAGCTTGGTTACACAGTCGCTCGCGCTGCTGCTACTGGGGCTGGGTACGGATGACATGCTTGTGACCATGGCGGCGCACGACGAGGTGAGCTGCGGTGGGGAACGGTGGGGAGAGGCGGGGGGGAAGCGGGAGAGGGTGAGAGGAGGCGGGGTAATCAGTTGTTGGGGATATGTTGTTGTTTCCGGTTTCGTCCACCTGTTAGGATCTGGCCAGTACGGTTGTCAATTACTGGTCCGCTTCTCTCCCTGTCTCCCGCCTTCTCCTCCGCTACTTGCATGGACTGCTCACTCTCTCTGCCCCCATTCCCCCGTTCCCCTGACCACCCCGTTCCTTCCGTACCCCCAGACGGCGCGCGACTTCCCGAACGCGTCCGTGGTGGACCGGATCGTCGCGACGGTGTCGCGCGCGCGGCGCGGCGTGATCGTCGCGGCGCTCACCAACTTCGTCGCGTTCTGCACAGGCATAATCTCGGAGCTGCCCGCGCTGCGCGATTTCATGATCTACGCCGCCGTCGGCGTCGTCCTAGTCTTCGTCTTCCAATCCACGCTCTACGTCGCGGCGCTCACGCTCGACCTGCGCCGGCAGCGCGCCAATCGCATCGACACGCTCTGCTGCCTCGTCAGCTCCGCCGGCCCCACCGACGGCTGCTGCGGCCGGCCGTACGATCGGAACAAACCCGGGGTTGATCAGACGGTCATCGGCCACTGGCTTCCCGCGCTGATCCTCCATCCAATCGGAAAGATCTTCGTGGTTTTAGGGACGCTAGGGTTACTCGCGACTGGGATCTACGGCGCGTGGAACGTGACGCAGAACTTCAACATCGACTGGATGGTCCCGGAAGGGACGTACGTGCGTGACGTGTACCGAATCCGATCTCAGACGTTCCCGCTCGCGTCGGGTCAGGGCGCGTTACCTGTGTACGTCTACACGACGAACCCGACGGCGACTTTCACGGCGGTTACCAACACTTCGTCGGGGTCGTCGCGACCCCAGGCGTGGGTCGCGCCGTCGTCCGCGGCGCCGATGGACTATTTTAAGATGCAGGACGAGTTAGCGGCGCTGGGCGTGCGGCTGCAGGCCGACCCGTACGTGTCGTTCTCGCCGCCCGTGCAGTCGTGGTTCGCCAACTACCTCATCTGGCTCTCCGCTTCGCCGCACGCGCCGCTGCTCGACGCCAACGGCCGGTAATAAACGCATGCATGCCTGCATAACTGAGCTGTGTGCCTGTGTGCCTGACTGCCAATCGCCATCTTGATCCTCACTCCTTGACACCCACCTTGACTCACTCCTTTAGCCTACCTCCAGCCACGCGAGTTGCCGCCACCACCACATTCTCCTCCCACCTCTCTTCTCCTGCGCTTCCTTCCCATCCCACTCCCGTCTTCCCTCTCCTCTCTCCACCCATGGCGACCCGTACGAACGATTAGCCGCGCGACTTCTCCTCCTAATCTTCTCCTTTCCTCTCTCTGTCAGTCGCCTCAAATCCCTCCTTCCAGTCCGCCAACGCCCGAGCTCTTGGAGTGCCCGCACGAGTTCCCCGTCTCCTCAATCCCTCTACCTCTCCCTCCTCTCCCCGCAACCCTCGCTCCCCCCCCCCCCTTTCCCCCCCCACCAGCCCCCCCACGCCCGAGCTCTTCTACGAGTGGCTGCACGAGTTCCTGGGGTCCGTGGGGCGCCGCTTCCGCCTGGACCTGGTGTTCGACGCCAACAACAGCTCGGTGATCCTCTCGTCGCGCTTCTTCGCCATGACGCGCGGGCTCAACAGCAGCGCGCAGCAGGTGGACGCCATGAACTCGATCCGCGCGACTGCCTCTGCCGCCGCGCCCACGCTCTCCGCCTTCGCGTATACCTTCCCGTTCATTTTCGTTGAAGGCTACGCCGTGATTCAGCCCGACACAGTCCTCGCAATCGCCATTGCCGGCGCGGTGGTGTTTGGAATCATGCTGCTGCTGCTCGCGGATCTGACGTGCAGCGTGCTGGTGGCGGTGATGGTGGCGGCGATAGGGGTGGAGCTGGTGGGGTGCTTGTACTGGTTCGGCCTGGCGTTTAATTCGGTGACGTCCATCACGCTGCTGCTCGCCATTGGGATTGCCGTGGATTACTCGGCCTTCACCGCCTTCTCCTTCCTCTCCCAGGTGGGTTGGTGTGTGCATATCTGTGTGCATGTGTGTGTGGGGGTGTGTGCCTTCACACTACTCTCCCCCTCTTCACATATTACTACTCATTGCTCCTGCGCTCACACGCACTCATCCCCACCATATTGGCATGGACACCTGGAAACATGCAACCCAGCCTCACCAGCTCGCCAATTCCCCCGTGTTTCCCCTCGTTCCTTTGATTATCGATCGCAGGTGGGCACGCGGCAGGAGAGGGCGAGGAGGGCGCTGAACCACCTGGGAGTGGCGGTGTTCAACGGGGGCTTCTTCATGTTCCTCTCCATCCTCCCGCTCGCCCTCGCCAAGTCGTTCGTCTTCCAAACCTTCTTCAAGGTATGTATACCTCTCTCTCTCTCTCTGCGTGTGACCCACTTCTCCATTTGACAAGTCCCACATTTGACTCGTCCCATACCCACTTTTCCCCTTCATGGTGTCTATGTCCTCCTCCTGGGTCCCACTGTGTGTTTTCCTGTGGTCATCTCTCCACATCAGTCCATGGTTCAACCCATCAGCTTCCCACTCTCATTGCTCTCTTGCTTTGCTCCCGCTCCCACTGGCCCATCACCCATTCCCCCCCTCTCACCCCACCACCCATTCCCCCCCTCTCACCCCACCCTTCTCTGCAGATGTTTTCTATGATTGTGGTGCTTGGTCTATGGCACGGCCTGTGCACTCTACCAGTGCTGCTCTCACTCTTCGGCCCGCCTCCATTTGAAACTTCTGTAGAGGCGCACCAACTGCAGCTACCCGCAGCAACGTCTTCGGCCCGAGTGGCTGATGCTGTCATGCCAGATGAACTGCCAGGTGTTTCTTCAGGTGGGTCTGCTTGCAGCGGCGCCATAATGGTGACTCCGGAGAAGCAGGTTATAAATGCCTCCATGCCCTCAGCAGCACCTGCAGTTGTGATGATGACTTCTCTGTAACGAGGATGCAGCTGAGTGCTGCTCGTGACCTCATAATCGACGGGCGGGGTGGAGGATGTATACTGCCGAATGGCTGCATTGCTGCCAATGAATAAAATCGTCTCGGTGAATCTGTACATCATGGGTGCATGATTGCACCCGCGGGAGGGACTTGGCTCTTGGCCGCTCACTGACTTCTGACATGCCATGGAGGGAGGTCCATTAGTTAGGATTCGTAGCTCCAAGATATACTCCCTTGGGCATGTGCTACTAGTTAGAAAATGCTTGCTTTCCTCCCTCCCATTGTAATTTCAATATATGTGGTGAATCAAGAAGAATGGTGTATTTGAATGTAAAACCCAATCACCCGCGTATCAAAACCCAAGAAAGTGCCGAATTGAATGGGCGAACGGAGCTTGTCGCTGAAATGAACGGAGCGGAACAGACCAGTAGCAGCGATGGATGACGATGACGACTGCTTGCGGCTGTGGAAGGGAATCCGCTACTCGGGCGAAACGGAATTCCCGAGACAACATAGCCCACATGATCACATGCTTGAAACACAACATATACATGATTCACTCACTCCCGCCCACACCATTTTCTCTCCTGCAGGGCTTTCTTCCCAAAAACAGGGAGGGAGGTAGCGCCAGTCCTTTCCTTCGCTCGCTTTGTCAACTCCAGTATTGCCCTCCCTTCCCCGTCACATGCGCCCTAACGATTCGTCTTTTCCTCGGCTGCGGATCGTAGATGTTGTTGCACGAAACAGCCATGTTGTCATGATCACTGGCTCTTCCTCCTTGATTCGTATGGCGAGACCGCAAAGTCGGAGTGTTCTTGTGATCCCTACCTGCTGTCTACCGCGCTTTTGTTGCCCTGTCCCGTCGCATGGTTATAGCTGAAGCTCCGAAGAAAGTGTTTATAGTCCTCTATTGCCCACCCATCGCACCCTTCTTGGCGCATCCGATCCGATGGATCCGACGGCATCCATCGCTTTCTGCGAAGCTTCAATTCGCGCCGTAGGTTCTCCTTCCGAGCCTTGCGCAGCGGAACCCCCAAAACCTGCAAGGATTAGCCTCTCCGATCAGCTGTCTGCTGCTGTCTCACCTACTGGGACCCCTACAGATACTACCGCTGCAGAGGCAGAGACATCTACGGAAATCGCTGCAGACACAGAGACGCTTGCAGGGGCCCCTGGAGAGTCGGCAGCGGGAATCACGGGCGCGCACCAGCCCCCGCGTTCATCCACTTCGTACACACCTTTTCCTACTCCCGCTTCGCCCACCGCATCATCAATACACGCCTCCTCGATTGTGGTCGTTTCCCCTCCCGCCGCGTCTCTCACCGCGTCCTCCGTGCCCGCCTCGTCAGCCTTCTCCTCCAATCCCCACTCAGCAGCACCATCCGCCTCCTCGAACTCGCTTTCCGCATGGTCGCCATGGCGCCTCGTCACCTTCTTCACCTCTTTGCGCTCCCTATCCCTTCCGTACGACGTCCGTACCTCCGATCGCCTGCTCGCGCCGCTCCCTCTCCCGCCCGAAACGAAGCAAAACATTTTCGCGCTGCGGCACCCGGTCAGCGGCGCGGTCGTCTACGTCGTCCCCACGACCTTCCTCTCGCGGCAGTCCGAGCAGGACACGTGGCAGGTGATCTCGGCGGTACGGCCTGACGTGGTGGTAGCCCAGGTGTCGCTATATGACCGGCTGCTGCTGATGGAAGGGGAGTTAGGGCGATTGCCAGTCAGAGACGAGCGGAGGGGAGGGGGAGAAAGGGGAGAGATACTGCGCATATGCGACAAAGGAGGAGCGGGGGAGGGAGACGGCTGGGGAGAAGGGGGTTCAGACGGGGAAGGGGAAGAGGGAGCAAGGGTTAGAGGCGAAGGAGGTGGGGAAGGAAGGAGTGAAACGAGCCGAGACGAAGGGGGACAGACGGGCAGAAAGAGAATCAGACAAGCAGCAGCAGGAGAAGCAGTACGAGCATCAGCAGACGCAGGAGCTACAACAGCAGCGACAGCTGGGTTAGAGCAGCAGCAGCAGCAGCAGCAGCAGCAGCAGCAGCAGCAGCAGCAGCAGCAGCAGCAGCAGCAGCAGCAGCAGCAGCAGCAGCAGCAGCAGGAGCAGCATCAACGGCAAGTGCAGCAGCAGGTGCAGCAGGCGGGAAAAGGCCAGGTACCAGAGACACCAGCAGGCGTGGTGGCGTGTGCGGCGCTCCAGCACGTGGACAGCGCGAGCATGCGGCGGTGGGGAGTGCAACACGTGATAGAGACGATCTTTGGCGCGCATGTGGCGGGCCCCCTTGCTGCTGCGCGCTGCCTCTCCGCCGCCCATGGGTCTAAGCTTCTGTACCTGGTGGATCCTGGGCTGGGGGGAGGCGGAGAAGGCGCGGGCGGAGTGGGAACAGGGGGAGGGGGAAGGGGAGGGGGAGGGGATGGGAGTGAGGGGGGCGCATGGGAGGGAGTGGGGAGGAAGGGGTCAGGGAAGCGGGTTGGGGTGGGGTGGGGGGGAGGTGGAGGCGGCAGGATGGGAGTGCAGGCACAGCTTTTGCCAGGTGGGGCAGGTGTGGTAGGTACCGAAGGGGGGGGTGAAGGGCAGAATGAGAGGGGTGCGCATGCAGCGGAATGTGGCACTCAGGATTGTGCGTGGCTAGGGAGTGAGGCGGAGAGGAAGGGTTTGGGTGACGGGAAAGGGAGGAGTGTGCAGGTTGTAGCAGTGGATGGAATAGCTGTTGGCAGTGTCTCCCCTAGAAAGATGCCCATTAGTGATGGTTCCCGGGCAAGGGGAAGTAGTAAGAAGGAGCGTGCACGTGCACGTGCGTTCGACCTCTGCCTTTCCAGTCCCCGATCTGCTGTGGCTTCAGAGTTGACTCAAAAGGCAGGAAGAGGGAGTGGTAGCAAGGAGCGTGCGAGTGTGAGTGCAAATGCGAGTGCACGTGCACGTGCACGTGCGTTTGATCTCTGCCTTTCCAGCTCCCGATCTGTTGTGGCTCCGAAGCCTGAGTCAACAACTCAAAACGCAGCAAGGGGGAGCGGCAAGCAACATGCACGAGAGCGAGCGTTTGCTCTGTGCCTCTCTAGAGCCTCGCCTTCTGCTCCTCCTCCTCCCCCCTCTCTGCCCCTGACTCTCCCTCCTCTGCCCGATATCGCGCATCACTTTGCCCTGGCACAATTCGGCCCAAAGGCTCTAGCTCTTCTCCCTCACCCCACTCTGGGTAGCTCTTTTACCACCAGGGATGCCCCGCCAGACGTTGCTGCTACAGCCGCTGCTACAACCTCTGCTGCATCCGAGGCCAGCGTTTCTGGTCCGCCTGATCTTGGCCCAGCAGTAGCAGAGCACGGCGCGGAGGTTGGGAAGGAAAGGCAGGGAGAGCAGGGGGAGGGGGAAGAGGTTGCGTGGGGGGACAGAGAGGTGGCGAATGGGGTGCTGGCAGTGCTGTCTACGTACGAACGCGCGTTTGAAGGGATGAAAGGGATGAGGGAGGCTGCGGCCGCTGCCAGGCTGCTGCTGGCTGCTGCTGTGGCGGACGGGAGTGGGGAAGGGGAGAGGCAAGTGCAGGAGGGAGAGGAAAAGAGTGGGAGAGAGGGCGAGGGGACGGGAGAAGGAAGGGTGCGAGAGGAGAGTAGTGGAGTCAGGCATAATGCGGCTGTTGGTGGTGTTGGTAGTGCTGCTGCTGCTGCTGCTGCTGCTGCTGCTGCTGCTGATGGTGCTGCTGCTGATTCTGCTTCTGCTGCCGATACCCGTGCTCTTGTTCCTGTGGGCAGGGGAGGTGCAGGTGCAGCAACGTCCTCATCACAAGCAGATTCGTTACTGGCAGAGGCGGTGCTGCATGTGCGGCTGTACGGGCGCCTGGCAGACGTGATTCGTGAGGTGCAGATAGAGGAGGCACGATCAGCCCCTGTGGACCCATCAGAATCTGTCTTCACGCGGCTGCGGCTGATGGCTGGGACGACGGGTGGAGGGGGAAGAGGGGAAGGAGGGACTTTTGAGTCGACTCAAAAGTCGATTCGTGAGGTGCAGATAGAGGAGGCACAATCAGCCCCTGTGGACCCATCAGAATCTGTGCTCACGCGGCTGCGGCAGCTGGATGGGACGATGGGTGGCACGGGGCGGGTGGGAAGAGGCGGGGGAGCGGGGGGGGGAGGAGCGGAAGGAGGAAAAGGGAAAGGGGGAGGAGGTGGAGTGGGAGTGCGGGAGAGAAGGATTGAGGAGGTTGAGGAACGAGGGGAGGGGCATGTATTGAGAAGAGAAGGAGAAGGAGAAGAGAGAGGCAGGGCAGAGGCAACCATTGGTGCTGCTGCAGGTAGTGGTGGCAGCAGTGGTACGGCTTACAGTCACACTCGTGCTTCAAACGGGGGTGCTAGAACAGAGTGTGATAGAACTGAGGGCAGCAGCGGTGAGATGGTTATGGCGAGTGCGGCAGCAGCAGCAGCAGCAGGGGATGAAAGTGCCCTCCAGGGGAATGCGCATGAGGCTGAGGGGGCCAGGTTCAGGCGTTTCCTCAGGTGGTTTCGCGGAGACGCTGTGCAGGAGAAAGCTTCAGGTGCCGCTTCGTCTGGGAAAGAACGAGTAGTGGAAGGGGAGGAGAAGGAGCAGGAGCAGGAGCAGCAAGGGGCGATGAGAGGGAGGGACGGGAACCGTGTACCAGGAGATGGAAGACTGGTAGTGAAACGACAGGGAGAAGCAGCACAGGGAGTGAGAGCAACAGCTGATCCTGAAGAAAAGGCTGCCGCTGCTACTGCTGCTGCATTGCCAGTGTCTGGTGCGCACTCGGCACTGGTGGGGCTGCAGCAGCTGTTGGAGCTGAGCAGGGAGGAGCAGCAGGAGGTGCTGCTGGTGCAGGCTATAGAGAGCGAAGCAGCAGCGCTGCAGCCCGGTCAGGCCATGGTTGTCACTTTGTCCACATCGCTCCTCCCTCTCCTGCGCCGCTCATGGCCTGCTGCTGCTGCTGCTGGTCGTGTGAACCCTGTAGCACCAGGAGCAGTACCACCAGCAACAGCAACAGCAGCAGCTCCAGCAGCAGCAACAGCAGCAGCAGCGGCATCCCTGGGCCTGTCTTCGAGTCTGCGAGCATTGGCTAGAGAGTGTCTCATACCAGCGCATCTCTTTGAATCCCACGCTGCTTCCGCTGCTGCTGGAAGAGGCTCTGACCACGCTTTTGCTGCGCTCTCTCCCGCAACAGCCAGTGGTGTCAGTGGCAGCGGCAGCAGCAGCGGCAGCGGCAGCGGCAGCGGCGCTGGCAGTACTGCAGGAGCGGCTCATAAGGCGTCTGCCTCCTCACTGGCAGCAGCAGGCGCAGGAGCGGGAGCGGCTCTCATCCTCATCACCTTCTCCTCTCTCTCCAAAACCCTCTCCCTCTCCGCGCTGCTCAAGCTGTTCACCTTAAAAGCCGCCTCGATAGCAGCAGGAGGAGCCAAGGGGAAGCTGTTCTCCTTCCTCATGCACCGCCTGGTGACAGCAGCAGGGATGAAAGCGTCTGCTGCTGCGGTCACAGGGCCGCTGGGAGCCAAGCTGGCGCTTCTAGCAGGGAAGGTGGGTCTACAGGGGAAGATCGCAGCTGTGGGGATTGGAAAAGCTGGGGCTATGGCAGGCGGCTCTGCTGCTGCAAGTGCTGCAAGTGCTGCGAGTGCTGCGAGTGCTGCTGGTGCTGGAAAGGCTGCAGTGGCTGCTGCTGGTGCTGGGAAGGCGGTGGCGGCTGCTGCTGCTACCGGAGCAGGGAAGCTGGCGGGTTCGGCTGGGCTTGTGGCAGGGACTGGGAAGGTGGCTGGAGGGTCAGCGGTAGTGGCGGCAGGAGCTGGGAAAGCAGCAGCAGCTAGCGCTGGTGCTGTGGGGAAGGCAGCAGGTGCGGCAAAAGCAGTGGGTGCTTCAGCTGCTACTGTGGGCAAGGTAGCAGTGGGTGTTGGCGGGAAGGTGGCAGGTGCAGGTGCAGGTGCCGGGAAGATAGCAGGTGCAGGTGCTGGGAAGATAGCAGCAGGTGGTGTGGCTGGTGGGAAGGCAGCGGGAGGGTCAGCTGCTACTGTAGCAGGTGCTACCGGGTCTGGTAAGGCCACTGGCGCTGCTGTTGCCGCTCCTGCTGCTGCTGCTGCCGCTGCCTCTGCCTCTGCCTCTGCTGCTGCCGCTGCTGCAGCGACAAGTGCTGCCACAGGGGCGATAACTGGTGCTGCAGGTGCAACCACAGTCGCCACAGCAACAGCAGCAACCGCCACAGCAACAGCAACAGCAACAGCAACAGCGACAACGGCAGCAGCAGTGACTTCAGTGACCAAGTCGGGAGTGGCCGCGGCAGCGGCAGCAGCAGGCAAGGTGGGGGGGTGGGCGGGCACGACAGCGCAGGTAGCAATGGATTCAGTGCAGAGAGCAGCATGGCAGTTGCTGCGCACCGTGCTTTACCAACAGATGCGCGAGCGGTCCCGCAATGGTAAGGGGCAGACGCAGCAGCAGGTGCAGGGGCAGCAGGGCAGTGCAGCGGTTGCTGCTGGCTCAGCTGTTGTCTTGACCACAGCAGAAGCAGCGTCTGTTCCTGTTGCGGCTGGTGTGGGTTCTGTGAATGGGGCTGCAACCACAGCAGCAGCAGGAGTAGCAGGATCAGCAGGAGCAATGGGAGCAGTGGGAGCAGGGCCCGAGCAGAGCACACAGATCCTCACCAGCTCAGGTAGCAGCACCCACCTACTCACCTCAGCACCCACCGGAACCGCTCTCAACCCAGCAGTAGCCGGAGGAGGAGACTCAGTCAGACCAGCAGGAGGGCGAGTGGCCCTCTGGCTGCAGCAGCAGGGGCGGAACCTAAGAGAAGGGCTGGCCAGTGCTGCAACTGAAGGGACCAACGACCGAGCGTGGCTGACACTCGGCGCGACAATCGGAACAGTGGCTCTGGTGACAGCGTATCAGGAGGAGATTCTGTATGGGGTGGCAGTGCTGCCTGAGGCCCAGGGGCTGGCGCGTGTGGGGAGGGGCGTGCGGCGCGTGAGGGAGGTGGTTGAGGCAGCTCGACCGCCAGGGTACAAGCTGGATGAGTTGGGACGGGTGGAGTCTTGAGAGATGTCTTGAAAGTCGGTTCTGGGGGCACACACAGTGTGTGACACACTGTAGGCTGCACGCCAGTTGGGTCATGGCGTATCAGGAGGAGATTCTGTATGGGGTGGCTGTGCTGCCAGACGCCGAGGAGCTGGCGCGCTTGGAAAGGGGTGTGCGGCGGCGGCGGGTGTGGGAGGTGGTTGAGGCGGCTCGGGCACTGTAGCATAGTCTGGAGCAGTTAGGTCGTGTCGAGTTTTGAGAGGGCGATGTTAGGTTGGGATGCTAGAGCGCAGGGTAGAGTTAGATGAGTTAGACGATGTGTGTTGGGGGGAAGCTATGCCATGATACCGTAGGTACTGTACCAGGTTGGAGAGGATGTGTTGATTTCTTGTTGGTTGAATCAAATAAAATAGTAGAGCCGTGGTGTCTGGGTTGGTAGAAGGATTGTGAATCACAGCATGGCTCTTTGGTATGGTACCATTGGTGGACTTGTCGCTTCTCCAGACACTGGTTGGTACAGTTGATTTGTGGCACATGCTTGTAATTCAGTGACATGGTATGGTAAGCAAAAGTAAAAATAATTATTACTGTAAGCAGAGCTTCCGTTGACTCCCTGAATGCAGAGCCTCCATTCTGCGGCCCAGTGGAGACTCCGGACTGGAGAGAGTTACCGGTAGTTCAGCAACCCAGCCTACTTGCGAGGTCCGCAAGTCACCAGGGACAATGCCTGGCTGTTTGCAATGACAGGTTACGGAAAGGATGCTAACGTTGATGCTCCTTACCTTTGCTTTCATTCATGTGATGCATCCTCCTCACTGTGCTTCTCTCACCCGCCCACCCACCCACCATTATCCATGCATCCATGAACCACCAGATAGAGAGACAGACAGACAAGCATGTAGACAGACAGATAACGGACCAGGCAGACAGACAGACAGATAGAGAGACAGACAAGCAGGTGGACAGACAGATAACGGACCAGGCAGACAGACAGACAGATAGAGAGACAGACAAGCAGGTGGACAGACGCGGACAGACAGGCTCTTGACAGCCACTCCGGTTTCTCCTCCAACCACCCACCCTCGTCCACCCCACCCGGGCCCACCTTGCACGTCTTGCCGAGTACTCGAGGAAATGATAAAGAGGGACGCAGAGGAGGGAGGGAGGGGCGACAGACAGACAGGGATGGAGCGAAAGAGTGAGGAATCTAAGGAAGATATTGGGAGAGGGAAGGAGGGCGGTGAGGAATTAGACAGATAGAAATTGGGATGGGAAAGAGAGGAGAGTGGAAGGAAAGGACGCGTGAGGGGAGGGGGGCAGAGGAACGGGCCTGGAGAGGGAGAGAGAGAGGGAGAGAGAGAGAGAGAGAGAGAGAGAGAGAGAGAGAGAGAGAGAGAGAGAGAGGAGAGAGAGAGAGAGAGAGGAGAGGAGAGAGAGAGAGAGAGAGAGAGAGAGAGAGAGAGAGAGAGAGAGAGAGAGAGAGAGACAGAGAGAGAGAGAGGGAGAGAGAGGAGGAATGAGGGAAAGGTGGCAAAAATCCAGGAGAACAGGGGGTGGTGAAGTGAAAGAGCGACGCTGGATGACATGGAAAAAAGGAGCAGGGGGATGGAGAATGTGGCAAGAGGGAGAAAAAAAGGAGACAGGGACCCGACAAGGAAACCCTAAATTCTCAGTGACACTGACAACTCACAGTCGAAGCCAAACCATTACAAGCACATGCACGCACATATGGATACAAATATCATGCACATACACCCCACCGAAACGGTTACAAAAACTCCCAGCATTCCCACAAAAACCCCGCTCAATCCCTCACAACCCATGCACAATGGGTCGAAGGCCTCTCGCAATCCCTGGCCCCTTCAAAAGCACTAGGTGGAGAAGGAAGGGAAAGTGGGTCAGGTTAATCCCCCCCTTCCCTTTCTTCTGAACTCCATTGACTGAACCCAGTGACTGACGACGCGAGTGTGGTTTCTGGTGCGGCTTGTTTGGACATGCAATTGCATCGACGCGGATAAAAAAAAGGGAGCATTTCTAAAGTAAAAATGTTCTAGGAATACAAATGCGTTCTTACAGGATCTTGTTCTAAAAGACTCTGGTCTGTCACGGGAAGACTATAAGTTTGTACCGGTAAAAGGAGGGGAGAGGGAACAGGAGGGAGGGAAGGAGTGAGGGCGGAAGGAAGGAAACTGGTTTGCGGAAGCTGAAAAAGTGAGCACTGAAACCTGCATTATATATTGCGTAAACCAGCAACTGTCCATGAGCGAGCGACGAGGAAGCGGGATCAACCCGGTGAACATCCTGAAAGAATCCTGACGGGACTTTGGAGAAATCCTGAAGGTGATCTGGTGGAGCAACTAACGACAGCTATCGACAGCTACAGAAAGCGATCAGGCTCTTCAAAAGCGACCGTCGCGCCTACCGCATCCTCCAATAGCCGTCCGAGATATCCCGCCATGCACTGCCGCTAACTAGCAACCAGCGACCAGCACCCACAACTCCACCTGCTGTCCTTCTCCTCTCCCATTCCCGCAGCCGCATTCTCCTCTCCCCTTACCCCGCTGCTCCATCTCCCTCTTCCCGCTCCCGCTCCCGCTCCCGCTCCCCACTGCGCGCTCATCTCCACAAGGGTGGTTCATTGCCAGAGCACCTCCATGGGGATGTTGCGCTCCTCCGACACCTCCTTGAACTGCTTCATCTTGCTCACCGCGTCTAGCACGGCGCGCGCGTTGTTCAGCGGGTTCGGGCTCCCCAGCGACTTCCCCAGCGCGTTCTCCAGCCCCGCGAGTTCCAGCACCACGCGCACCGCACCTCCCGCAATCACACCCGTACCGGTCGCCGCGGGCCGCAGCATCACCGCCGCCGCGCCGAAAGTCCCCTCGGAGCGATGCGGGAACGTGCGGTACTTGGTCATGGGCACGCGCACCATGTGGCGACGCGCGTCCTTAACCGCCTTCTGGACTGCGGTGGAAACTTCCTTCGCCTTTCCGACGCCCACGCCGACCTGGCCCCCGCGGTCCCCGACAACGACTACCGCCCGGAAGGACAGCTGCTTGCCACCCTTCACGACCTTCGTCACGCGGCGCACCTGGAGCACGCGCTCCGACATACCGTCGGACGCCTGGAGCCCGCGCCGGCCGCCGCGACCGCCGCCGCTGCCGCCCTCGCTGCTGTTGTCGGAATCGCCGCCGGTTCGCGGTCCCCTGCGCTGCCGGCGCGCGGGAGCCTCCTCGTCGTCCTCATCGGAAGAGGTGAAGCTCTTAGAGTCCTTGACCACGCCGAACGGCTTTCCGTAAAGCGCCTCGTAGCCCGCGCGAATGTCCTCCTCGCTCTCCTCCTGATCGCCCTCCACGTCAGCGTACGCTGCCTTGCAGACGAATGCGGCTTCCGCGCGCTGGCGGGGCGCGGAGGCGGACAGGGAGAGCGCGGATCCGCGGAGGGAGCTCGCGGAGAAGCTGAGAGGGCGCGCGGTGGAAGGGCCGTCGATCGCGGCGGTGGGCGCGAGAGAGAGGGATGAGAGTCCCAGAGAGAGGGAAGATGCCATGGCGGTAGCCATTGCGGCAGGGAGGGAGATTCTAGCAACTGTTGGGATCTCGAGAAGCAGCACACGGCTGAAGTTTGGAGAGGAAAGCCCAGGCAAGGCGAAGGCAATTCCTCCTGGCTGGGTGAGTGTGGTGTGGAGTGGAGACTCCTCCGTGGGTCGTGAGTGAAGTGCGGTGGGATGGGGGAGATGGGGGCCCTCCCTTGACAATCCCAAGGGCGTGCGGTGCTGTGATGTTGTGATGGCTGAGATGCGCGGGAGGCGGGGCTTGAGGCGGAGAAATACAAAGAGGGGGTGTGCGGGGAGAAGCGCGGAATGTTGCACGCGGAGCTCTCAGGGAGTGCACAGCGGAGAGAGTAGCGGAATTTTCCGAGTCTGTCCAATTGTACCCCCCGTAACACAGGGAATTGGGCGAGGCGAAAGCTGATTGGGTCGTGCTGATTCAGCGCTTTCGCTGCCATGTTGGAGCGTTTGTTGAGCTAACGTGGCGAGACGAGCGAAACGTGGTGTGAGGAAATGTGTGACGACTCTAGGCGAAGCGTGGCGAAAATGTCCCGGTGGTAGCCCACCATGGAGAAGCTTTTTATCCAGAACGTGTCCACACGTCACACTTTGACTCGACTTGAGGGAGAACAGCTGTACTCGCTACGGAAACATTCGACTCGAACCTGATAGTGATTCATTCCACCAGTTGAAATGAAATCATTTCGAGAAACCGCTTTAGTAGAAATTCACATGGCATTTGTCTCTGGCAACTCCCGCATGCACTTTCCGCCTCCATCCCTCCAACCTCGTGCATGCGAATCACAGTGTCTTCCTCGGCACGCGAATTCGCCCCTCGAAAAAAGGACGAGCTCCAAGCCTCACTTGCATATTCGCTTCCACTCATGTCGTTTCTTGAATAGTCTGCTGTCTTTCCCTCCCGTCATTTTTCGTCGGTCTTCCACGCTAACGTCTGCCATCACCTCGTTATATCCCCGCTTCTTTATCTGAACGAGAACTTCGTCTCTATCTTTTATCGGATTTGACCGTGCGCGTCAACATCTTTGACAGGCTCGACCGTCCGTTTCTGCCGCATAATCCTCCTTCATGAAGCTCCGTGTGCGATCCGCCCAAGGCGGCGCCACTCATCGCATCGAAGCGCCGCCGCTCTGCTCGCTCCGCGCGCTCCGGGAACTCATCGCCGCCTCGTTCGGCGTTCCGCCCGCGGCCCTGCGCCTATCACTGAACAAACGCGATGCGCTCACCGGTGGCGACGCCGGCCCTGACGTGGCAATCTCGGAGCTCGGAATTCGCGGCGGCGATTTGATTTTTGTGCTGACCGAGGGCGCGGGGGGCGCAGCGACCGCGGAGGGGACGGTTCATGCGGATGGAGTGGAAGGCGGCCGGAGAAGCGTACGGATCAGGAGGAATACTGTTGGCTTTGGTGCAGACGGAGCGAATTCAGCGGTAACAGTACAACCAACACCGCCAGCACTGCCAACAGCAGCAGCACCAGCAGCCGGAGCGCCCGCAGCAACAGCGCCTGCCGCAGCAGCAGCAGCGGCAGTGGCGGTCGGAAGCGAGGAGTGGCAGCGGCAGCGCAGGGAACGGTGCGCCAGTGCTGCGCTCAGCAGGGCTGTGGGCGGGGATTGGCGCGCAGGGGCGGGCGGAAGTGACGGCATCGGAAGGCCGGCTGGTGGTGGGACGAGAATAGTAGAGGACGCGACAGGGCGCGCAGGAGAGGGAGAGTGGGAGGCAGCAATGGAGGTGGAAACTGGGGAAGTTGATGTACCGGCACCAGCAACAGCACCAGCATCTGCAGCGGAAGCACCACCATCAGGAGCACCATCCACACCATCAGCGGCAGTAGCAGCAACATCAACAGCAGCAGCAGCAGCAGCAGCACCGGCGGCAGCAGCACCGGCAGCAGCAATTCCTGCGACGCTGAGCCGAGTGATTCGTGCAGAGATGCTAGGTGTGGGCATGGGGAAAGTTGCCATACCAGCAGCACCAGCACCAGCAGGAGCAGCTGCAGGTGCAGGTGCAGGAGCGGAAGTGATAGACGGAGCAGTGGAAGATAGGAATGTGCAGCATGCCCTGTCCCCAGCTGCCTGGCTGGCGCTGGCTGTGCATGCTGCCATGATAGAGTCCGGATTCACTCCCGTCAACCCTGTGAATGGTGTAAATACCGTGAACTCTGAAAACTCTGTAAATCCTGTTATCTCCACTAGCCCCAGTCCTGCACCAGCCTGCGGCGATGACAACAGCAGCAGCAGCAGCAGCAGCAGCAGCAGTAGCAGCAGCAGCAGCAGCAACGGTTTGGCGCCGCTCAGTTGGACTCATCCGTCCAAGCCTCTCACTATACTCTATTCCATTGCCGTCTCTTCCTTGCTCCCTCCTCTTGTCTCACTGAAATTCTGCACCCTTGGCCAGTCCCTGCTGGTCTATGGCTCTACTCTCTCCCCTACCCCACCCTCCACCTCTTCTTCCTCCGTCCCAGCCGCCTCTCCCCCCTCCATTCGTCGCCTTGTCCTGCCATTCTCCACGTTCCTGAAACAGCCGCAGCCCCAGCCCCAGCTGCAACAGCCATCCCAGCAGCAGCAGCAGCAGGGAGGCGCACAGGCGAGTATGGAGGCGGCACGGGTGGCAGCAGCGGTGTACGTGAGTGTGAGAGACATGTGGCGCTGCATCAAGGACCAACTCACTCTCCCCCTCCTCTCCGACGCCTCATTTCGCTTCCGCCTCTGTGCCTGCTCTGCTGCCTCTGCCACTCCTGCTTCGACTGCTGGTGCTGGTTCCCCCGCGCCTCCCACGCTGCACATCCACACACACACCTGCCCGAGGCCCACCACCACCACCACCCATCACCCTTCCTCCTCCCCAACCTCCCGCATCCCCTCCCCTGCTCCCCCTGCGCCGCTGCTCCTCTTCCTGCCGTCCCTGCTCGCGCTCCCCCACGAGCTCCGCCTGCTGCTGCTCAGGAAGCTACCTCCTGTGGACCTCGCATCCCTCGCGTGCACGTGCTCGGACCTGCACTTCACAGTTGACGCAGCAGACGAGGTCTGGTTTGCGCTCTTTGCCACTGAGTTCTGCCTCCCTGCGTCCCCCTCTTCTCCCACTCCTGCCACAACTGCTGCCACTGCTGCTGCGGCTGGTGGTGGTGCTACTACCTCTGCTGCTGCTGGTGCTGCTGTGGCCACTGCAGCGCTCCCGCTCCCCCCTCCCCCACCCCCCGGGCACACCAACTGGAAAGCCGCATTCGGGTCATGGTGGCAGAAGCGCCGGGAGAGAGAGCGGGCGGAGGAGGAGGAGAGGAGGCAGCGTGAAGCAGCAGCTCGTGCTGCTCGCTCCCGCTTCTTCCCCCCATTCCACCGCCCCCAGCCCTTTCTCCCCCCGCCTGGGGGAGGATTTGCCCCTCCCCGGATGATCGGGGGGGATTATGACCGTTTCCCAGGCGGGGGAGGGGGTGGAGGCGGGTTTGGGGGGTTTGGGGGCATGGGCGGGGTGGGGATGGGCAGAGATGGGATGGTGGGCGGGGATGGGATGATGGGGGGAATGTTTGGACCGGATGGGAGGGTGATTGGAGGGGAAGGGGATGGGATGGATGTGGATGGGGGGATGGGTGGTTCTAGAGCCATGAGGGAGGCCCTGGGGGGAGGGCATGGGGGAGTGGGAGGTGGGGGGGGGATAGGTGGGGTTGGGCGAGGAGGAGGAGTGGGAGGAGTGGGGAGGAGGGGTGGTGGTCGTGGTGACAGGTTCTTCCCTGGTGGTGGTACTATGGGTGGTGGTGGGGGTATGAATCGATTCATCTGACACGCACATTCTGCCTCCCCATGCACCATGCAGCTTGCGCCATGCACCTTGCACCATGCACCATGCCCGATGCTCCATCCCCCACACATCGCAGTCCTCCTTTCTTTACCATCTCCGTTGTTCCTTCAATTGTGAGGGAGGGACTGCAAACATACGGTAACAGTAGTGTTGCGGGGGATGCAGGGATGACTAGCCGCAACTGCTTTATCATAGGCACTGTGCTGGTGCTTTTTTTACTGCAGCTGGTACTGCCTAGTTCCTGCCTCATGCAAGCACCACCACACACAACGATTCCTCTTTTACTTGCTTGTCTCTGATGACTTCTCTTTTGTTTGTACTCCACATGTTAATTTCACAAGTGTATAAAGAACTAGAGGAGTTTCTGGTATGATTAGCAGGAACATCTACGGTAACATAAAGCATCTGAAGCACAAGGAACCAAACTATACACCACCCAACGCAATGCTATGTTAGCTGAAGTCTCATGCATCAAGCTGACAGCACCAGAGCTGCAGCGGCAGCAGCAGCACACCACCCTGCCTGGAAACAGGGTTCATGGAAATGCAAGTTATAATACGGTACCCAGACTGCAAGCGAGTGTAGCAGCACCCGATCCACATGCCCTCATCCCATCCCATCTACTGCAATGCAAAACCTGCGCCCCACTGCAATTCACTATACCCCACCCCACTGTGCTTCACCCACCCACCCTACCTTATCGTTCTCCTGTCCTACACTACCCTCCCGTCCCCTGAAATGCTTCTTACCACCTACACCAGTTGCTGGCTCACTTCTGCTGAGCCGGCAAGTCAAACTGGTGCATGGTTGGTACTCCAACAATGGTGCTGGTACTCCAACGGGAACAACTCTTGCCCTTGCCGCCCCCCACTCCACCCTCGTACTTCCTTCCCTCCCGCTCATTCTCTCTTCAATCTGCTCCGCTTCCCACTCCCCATATCCCTCTCCCAGTCACTGCACCGGCGCGCCTCTCTTGTGCTTGCTCCTGCCGACCTCACTGCCCCCCATGGCCCCCCCTCCTCCTTCCATGCCCAACCCCAGGTGATCCACCATGGTCTCGGACACAGCCAGCCGGTACATCTGTCTCAGCTGCAGCACAGCACCTCCCCCTCCATCGCTGCTGCAACACTCCACCCTGCTGTCCTGTCCACACTCCCCTCCCTCCTGAGGGATGCCTCAACTCAACTCGACCCTCACAGCACCGGCGCGCTTCTCTTGCGCTTGCTCCTGTCGACCTCACTGCCCCCCGCGGCCCCTCCGCCCTCCATGCCCAGCCCCAGGTGATCCACCATGGTCTCAGACACAGCCAGCCAGTACATCTGCCTCAGCCCCTCATTGGCCCATCAGGGTTCCCTTTTTGAGAGATCTCACATCCGAGTTCTCAACAATCACAGCACGGGCGCGCTTCTCTTGCGCTTGCTCCGGTCCACCTCACTACCCCCTGTCCCTCCGCCCTCCATGCCCAGCCCCAGGTGATCCACCATGGTCTCAGACACAGCCAGGCGGTACATCTGTCGCAGCCCCTCATTGGCGCGCTGCAGGTTGCTCAGCAGCCGCGCGTTCTGCAGCTGCAGCGCTACCAGCGATTGGTCCTCCTGGCACAGGGCGGGTGGGGGCGGGGGGGACGAGGGAGCGTGGGGAAGGGGATGGGGGAAAACGAGGGGGGGAGAGGGGAGAAGTACGAAGGGGAGAGATCTCAAAAGCGTGCAGCCGCGCGTTCTGCAGCTGCAGCGCTACTAGCAATTGGTCCTCCTGGTAAAGGGGGAGGATGGGATGGACAGGGGGACCGGGGGACAAGGGGATGAGGGGGAGGTGGAAGAGGAAGGGGAGAGAAAGTGGAAAGGAGAAGAGAGAAGGTGGAAGGGAGAGGGAGTTTTGAAGACTGCCTGCCAGGCGGATAACACGGGCGACCAACCAGCAATTATCCAGCAGAAAGCAGGCAGCAAGCACACACCAACCCACCAGCAACCAGCCAGCAGCCAGCAGCCAGCAGCCAGCAGCCAGCAGCCAGAAAGCACCGATTCACACTCACCCTGGTCTCAACCACAGTCCGCACCAGCACCTCGCTTCACACAACCAGAAAGCTCACACCAAGCAGCAGGCAGGCAGGCAACAAGAACCACTCATTCGCCCCACTCACACTCACCTTGGTCTCAACCACAGTCCGCACCAGCACCTCGCTGCTGTGACACCCATTCCTTTTGAGTCGACTCAAACGCCAGCAGCAACCACTCGCCCCACTCTCAAAGAACCAAGCACCCACCCGCCCCACTCTCAAAGAACCAAGCACCCACCCGCCCCACTCTCTCACCTTGGTCTCAACCACAGTCCGCACCAGCACCTCGCTGCTGTAACAACCGTCCACTCCCCCCCACTCCTCGCCCTCTTTCTCCCCACCCACACTCCCCGGAACCGGCACCAACCCCCCACTCACTCCCCCTCCCCCTCCTCCTCCCCCTCCCCCTCCCCCTCCAGCAACATTCGGCAGCAGCAGAGGCGCCTCCTCCCAGGGTTCACTGCCGGTGAGGCCGGTGGCAGCGGCGTTGGCGTACTTGTGGAGAGGCATGGGGGGGAGGGCGGAGGGCTTGCGCGCAGAGGAGGGCGCGGAGGAGCGGAAGATGTCGGATGAGGGGAAGAGCGTTGGGGGCTTGGGGAGGACGAGCAGGCACGAGACGGGGCCTGGGGGGGGAATGGGGAACAGGGGGAAGGGGAGAGGGGGGAAGGGATAGGAGAGGGGAAGAATGGGGTTTGGAAAGGAAGTAGGGAGAAGTGGTAGGAAGCGTGGGCACAAGCAAGGCAGAGAGGGAGGCAATGACAGGGGGGGGTTGGGGCAATGAGAGGGAGCGCACCTTTGCAGTTGGTGAAGGTGCGGAGCAGCTGGCGTGTTACAGTGTCCCACACTCGCACGGTGCAGTCCTCTGATGCCGACACCAGTGACACCGCGTCCGCACTGAACTCGAGTGCCGTGATGCTGTGACTGTTGGGTGTAGGGAGGGCAGGAGGGGCGAGATGAGACGTCGCACGGTGCAGTCCTCTGATGCCGACACCAGTGACACCGCGTCCGCACTGAACTCCAACGCCGTGATGCTGTGACTGTTGTTGTTGTTGAGGGGGGACAGCGGAGGAGAAGGGCGGAAGGGGAGAGATGAGACGTCAAGCCGTGCAGTGTAGTCCTCTGATGCCGACACCAGCGACACGGTGCCCGCACTGAACTCCAGTGCCGTGATGCTGTGACTGTTGGGGAGAGAGAGGGAGGGTGCCGGGGGTGGGAAGGTGGTGAGGTAAGGAGAGAGGCGAGAGGGGCGGAGGCGAGTGAGCATGTGCAGTGAGCTTACGGGGAGCTGAGACACCAGTGACACCGCGTCCGCACTGAACTCGAGTGCTGTGATGCTGTGACTGTTGTTGTTGTGGGGGGGGGGGGGGGGGGGGGGGGAGGAGCGGGGGAGATGGACGGGAAGGGAGAGATGAGACGTCAAGCTGTGCAGTCCACTGATGCGGACACCAGTGACACCGCACCCCGAGAGATGGGGTGCACAGCATCGCACAGCAGGACACCGCACCCCACCTGTGGCCAATCAGCGCGTCATCGTGGGTCATGGGGTCAATGGCGCTGCTGCCGAAAGAGAAGGCAGGGGTTGAGGGGTGCGGCGGGGGGCGGGGTGCACCACCACACCACACCACAACACACCCCACCCCACCCCACCGCACCGCACACCACATCACACACACACCTGTGACCGATGAGCGCGTCGTCGTGGGTCATGGGGTCCATGGCGCTGCTGCCGAAAGAGAAGGCAGGGGTGCACCAGCACACCACACCACAACACACCCCAACTCACCCCACCGCACCGCGCCACATCACACCGCACCTGTGACCGATGAGCGCGTCGTCGTGGGTCATGGGGTCCATGGCGCTGCTGCTGACGGTCGTGAAGTTGAGCGCCGTGAGGTAGATGTTGCCATCCGCGCCCCCCGCGTACAACGTGTACTCTCCGGGATCCATGGCTGCTGCTGTCACGGCCACCGGGAAGACGTACGATCGCAGCAGTGCACCCATTGCTAGACTCCAGATCTGATGGGGCCAGGGGAGGGAGCGAAGAGAGGGGAAGGGGAGAAAGGCAGGATGGGGGAGACGTATAATCTCAGCAGTGCACCCATTGCTAGACTCCAGATCTGATGCAGCAAGAACAGGGGGAGGGGATGGGGAATGGGGTGAGGGGATAGGGAGAATAATAAAAGAATGGCAGGGAGGGAATGGAGTGGGGGGGAGTGAGAAGGGGAGACTGGGGGGTCGGGTCGAAGAGGAGGGAGGGAGAAGAGGGGGATTGACCATGCGAGCATGCATGCAGGCAGGGAGGCAGGTGGTGTAGAAGCAGCAGGGCTGAGTGGTGCTGTGCGGTGCGGTGCGGTGGCAGCGACGCACCTTGCAGGAGTGGTCGGAGGACGAAGAGACGAGCACGGAATTGACTCCGCCCGCTGCCATCCACAGCGACGTGATGGCCTGCCGGGCCGGGAGGGGGGTTGGAGGGGAGGGGAGGGGAGGGGAGGGGAGGGACAGCAGGGGAGAAGCAGAGAAAGTCGTGTTTTGAGTCGACTCATTACCCTCCGGCACTTCTATCCACAGAGACGTGATGGCCAGACGGGACGGGACGGGAGGGGAGGGGAGGGGAGGGGAGGGGAGGGGAGGGACAGCGGGGGAGAAGTAGAGAGAGCAGTGAGAGGGGGGCACAGATTTGGTACGACAGTTGAGAGGAGAAAAGGAGAAGGGGAGGAGGAGGAGGGGCGGGCGGAGGCACAGCATAGGTGAGACACGGCATGGCACGAGAAGATAGCTCGGCGCCATAGCTCGTTGGCCCAACTTTTGAGTGGACTCAAAAGGTGAGACACGGCATGGCACGACACGAGAAGATAGCTCGGCGCCATAGCTCGTTGGCCCAACTGTACCTTGCCAACCAACCAACCAACCAACCAACCAGGGCAAAGCGGCCAGGGCGAGCAGAGGTGGGGAGTGGGGGACGCGGGGGGAGCGGGGGGGAAAGGGGGAACGCGGGGAGCGGGCACAGCGGGAGGAGCAGGCAGATCCTATCACGGCCATCGTCGGTTGTGACAGCACGACAGGACCGAACCATGCCCATCCAGGGCATGGGCATGGATCAACCCCCCCCCCACACACACACCTCTCCTTCTCGCCCAAACCCCACCGCACCCCGTCCACATCGCTCTCCTAACACTACCTCTTGCTTCTCCTCATCCCCCCATTACCCCCTCACCCTCCCCTTTCCCCCCCCTTCCCTTATCCCCTCTAGCATCCCCACGGACATTCGAAAACCCCTTCACTCACACCCTAACCCCGCTTTCTCAGAATCACCCCTCCGCTTCTTCCCCCTTCCCCCCCTTCTTCCCCCCCCCTTCACCCCCTTTCACGAGTGCATCGTAACTCGCACCGCCCTACCTGTTGGTGCTGCTGCCACGTGTACATGGGTTGCACGCCCCCTGACCCCTCCACTCCCCCTCCGCCCTTGCCGCTCCCGGTTCCCCCGCCCCCTCCGCCTGGTTGATTCACCCCGTCTAGTATCCTGCGCACATGAGCGGGAGATGGGGGGTGAGGGGGGAGTGGGGAGGGGATGAGGGGAGAGGAAGGGGTGGGGAGGGAGGGACGTTGGAGGGGGGCATTGGGGGGTTATGAAACGGAGTGGGGAAGGTACAGCGGGGAGGCGGGAAGGTGGGAATTTGGGCGGGAAAGGTGCCGACCGTCAAGTTTGAAAGGTACACGTCAGACTTGACGCCCAACACCTGAAAGGGGTAAACGATCTAAGACGAACTGAGAGGGTTGAGAGCGTTGAGAGGGTTGAGAGGGTTTAGCTTTTAGACGCCCAACACCTGAAATCTAGGACAGAGGACCCCTGACTGGGTTCTTGGAAGTTTTTAAAAAGGGTTTAGGCACCTCGTTCCAGGAAAATTAAAGCCCAGAAACGATACTAAACCCCCTAGTGGCGCGGTAACCGCCCGCCAGTCGCGCGCAGGTCACACACGTCAGCTGCATTGACGCACCGCACGAGGGGTGTGACGTGGATGATACTGTCCTCCCCCGCCGACACCAGCAGCGCGTCGTCGTCCGACAGCGCAAGACACGTCACCGCGCGGTAGTGCGCCGCCCACACGCGCAGCAGCCGCCCGGTCGCCGCCTCCCACACGTAAACGCGCCCCGACACGCCGCCCCCGCACAGGTACACGCCGTCCGCGGTCGCCGCCAGCGGGCCTATGGCCTCCGACGTCGGGCTGCGCACCGCCACCGCGGACTGCGCGGGGAGAGGGGTTGCGCGGGGAGAGGGGTTGCGCGGGGACGGGGAGCGCGCGGGGGGGGGGGGAGGAAATGGATTTCGTGGGGGAGAGAGTCGCCCGTGGAAAACGATGGAGCCAGGAAATGCGGAGCATGACGAATGCGGCGCGCGAGCGGTAATGGAGAGCGCAGAAGGGGCGAGGGTTGAAAGAGGAGAGTGAACAAAAACCCAACTAAAATCGCGGAAACTTGATCCTAGAGGATGGCGGGAATTACAGAGTGAAATTTGTTCTTGGAGGGGTTTTTGAAAGGGAAGCTTCGACGTAACTATTCGGAGCTCCAACTCCGCCTACGCCTGAGTCGACTCCAAAACGGAGCGCCTTGAATTTAGGAGTCGTCGCGTTCAGATGTCGCGTAATTGCGCGCTCGAAAAAAAATCCGCGTACCTTCCTCCACGACCACACGTTCACGGCGCCCGCCTTGGACTCGCCGCGCGTCAGTTGCGACACCGCCACGTGGTCGCGTCCCATTGCGCACAGCCCGCGCCGCTGCGACGAGGACGACACTAGCGACGCGAGAAGCGACCCGGTGGTGAGGTCCCAGACGCACACGGGCGAATCTACCGACGCCGCCGCCACTACAACCTCTTGCAACGCCGCCATTCGCGCGCGCGACGACGGCACGAGAAATAGAGAGCAGAGTAACACGCCGCGATGTCTGAGCTAGGGTTTGCGTCCGCTAAAGGATTCTTCACGCGGGACGGAAAGTCCCGCGCTTTGCAGTCAGCTAGAAATCCTAGAGTCTCGCCCTGTAACTCGCCAATTGACGCGCCGAAGGCGATCAAATCCGCGCGTAATTGCGTGTAACGGAAAATCCTTTCAGAGCGAATCTACGCGAATCTCATGAGAGGGACCTGGACACCTAGAGTCCATAGTGTTTGCGCGAAAACCTAGAAATTCCCGCAAGCTGAATTACTTTCGACCCGCGACGGTCTGCTACAGCCATAAACCCCAGCATGATGCGACGAGCGATGGCAATGCTCTATGCCGGTGCTCGCCATTCGACAGCGATTGACTCGAGGGGACTGAGCTAAAACTTGAAATAACCGTAGAGCAACAGATGAACAGGATGAAACTAGGGATTAGATACCGCTGCAAGGCGGCAAGCCTCTGGCTGGATGAGTTGATTGGCGCGGAGCGGCGGATCGGAGAAAGCTGACGACGAGTAGAAAAGAAGCAGTTGATGGGGAGGAAAAGGAGCGAGGGAGTGAGCTCTTCCACAAGTGGTGCCAGAGCGAGCATTGCTTTGCGAGCGAGCGAGGGAGAACCGTGAGCTGACCTAGAAATTACAGTACAGTCGATGCTCAGCCTATCACAAAACATTTCCTCCCCGCAATTAGAACTTTCACTCGCGAACGTTTTGCCCGTGAGTGACTAAATTGACCATTATGCCGATTTCGGGGTACAGTCACCAAGGTGAGGAAGAAAAACATCTACAGCTCATAACCAACAACGGTTGCCCGTCATCTGAAAAGTTTACCTGGTTACGAAATTATAACCCTTGACTCTATTCACATTGCAGTTTCATATTACAGTCACATTTTTGCCCGTGGTGACAAGGGCGAAATGCCTGAAACACGTTTCACGCACATGCCCTGGTGTAAAACTACCGAGAATAAGGTGTAAAGCACAGTCGCCGTTTATTTTTGCCACTGTTTCTCGCCCCATTGATTTGCGTATGGCAGGCTTGCAGCAGGGTCTGTCAATGCAATTTAGTGAGCTGGCTAAACATTATTGGCCGGGTTAATATATAGGCGGTCACAAACTGGGGCTCGTTATCACAAAAAGTCACACTGCTATCTCGAACGGGCACAGAATCTAGCTATCGATCACGGATGGTCACAAAATCAGGGATTTCTATCACGAATAGTCACACGCTGCCCCCAAAACTTATCATAGTCATGTTACATTCAACTGGCGACTGGTCTTGTCATATATGCGTAGCTAGCCTGGTTAATTCCGTAGCGAGTCGCGGAGGCGAAGGTTACAAAATTTTGCATGCTTAAAAAAAAACTAAAACCCACTCGGATGGCATGCCATCCGAGAGAGCATCAACCCTAAACACCATACGACAAGGTGTTTAGGGTTGATACAGAAAGTCCACAGGTACGAGGTTTAAAAAAGAAATGTTTTTTATTTGCGGACGGATATAATTGAAGTTATGCAAATCTGCTGCGGGAAAAAGACAATTGTTTCATGCTTTGAACGAGTTTGCGAAAGTGGTTGCGAACTTATTCGGAGGTAACACTTTTTTTCGCGCACAATATAACTTTCCCCGAATCTCTACAGTTACTCGTGAAATTTCAACTTTCCATGGAGCGTTTCATTGTGTGACCGTACGTGATAGATCGTGGGGCAACATTGTGACTCCCCGTGATAGAATTCCAGATTTTGTGATCGTCCGTGATAGGATCCTAGATTCTGTGACCGTTCGCGATAGCCGGATGACCATTCGTGATATCGTGCCAGTGTCTGTGACTGGCTATATAATTTCCCTTATTGGCCAGTACTTGCAGTGCGAAGACCTGGACCGCTAGCTGGATGCCAAATTTGGCACCCAGGAAACTCTAGCGAAGTCAGGTGCACGAAAGCTAGATGCAAAATGTAACATGACGTGTCGTAAGTTGCTGCACCCCTCTTTGTGTCGTAGATCATGATTCTTTCTCACGCCACACCCGCAAGTCGACGAAACTATGCTGCGAAACAGGTTATGTGGGTCCCTGAAGTTCCATTTGTTCCTCTGGAATTTCTCAGCGGAAGGTACACTTCCGGGCATCCCCCAAGCTTGAGATCAGATATGGCAGCAATAGTACACTTCCGAACCAAACAAAGAACGCCAAGGAGAAATACAGTGTCCAATAGTTCTGCTCGTTGATGACGGCGTGAGCCGCAAGTTGGCCTGGGTGCGCGTCGACGAGAGTAGGCTTTGCGTTGCAATTTACAGCTGGCCGGATGGGCTCCTGAGTAGCCACTCCTTGTGCAAGTGTGTCTGCTTGTCGCGATCTCGAATTGAGAGCGTGGAACATCCTTTTGAACAACTGTTTGGTCGGCTCTTTGGTCGGACATTTCTCTCGTCAAATGTTTGCGACGATTTTCGCCAGGTAACTTGCAAAACCCCACATTGCAAATCGGAAACACTTGGTCGCCCAGAAATACGGAGTCGCGATGGTACACTAAAGGCGCCGACTTCGTCAAACACCTTTCTACGAGTTGGATTGTGTTACGAGTGCAATTGAGTGAACGAACGACACTATCGAAGCAATAGTCAATGAGCGAAGGCATGAGCGAAGAATATATAGCGAAACTACATTGGTAACGGTAATGGACTGAAGTTGTCGCGCGACGGGCCTGGGATTGAGGTTGGGAAAAAGTGTCGAAGCGGAGGCCCGGAGCGCGGGTTACCCGCCGAGCCGTGAGGTCGGGGTGCGATGTGCGAAGGTGGCGGGCGGATTGTCGATGCGAGGGTTGCGAGTGGTAACGGTGCTGACTGTGGTGCTACAGTGATGTACGCGTTGATCAGGGATGCGAAGTAAGGAAAAGGAATTTTCCTTACACTACCCCCCCCCTAAGGAGGTCCTCCTTACGAAAGTGCGTGTACATCCCTGAAATTTCGGCTGCGCAGATACTCGGTGAGGACGGGGTGGTTTTCGATTCTGTCCAGGCAAACCCAATTGTCTTCGATGGGTGTACGGTCCTTACAGCGGAGTAAGAACTCGATCCTTCGGGCTCCTCGAGGGTCGCGAACTCTGTGACTCAGGATTTTCTCGGGGGTGATGATTGGTTCAGTTGGTGGTCTGGTCATGCTGGCTGGGCGATTGCGTGGCAGTTGGCTCGTGGACGGAACGTAAGGGCGAAGTAGGCTGACGTGGAATGAGGGGCTGACGTACCAGTCAGCAGGGAGGAGGAGGTGGGCGGTGACGGGTGTGAGCATGTGGCTTATGCGAAATGGCCCGCAGTATCGGGTGCGGAGTTTCGGGGTGATGGGCAGTCGGAGGTTCTGAGTGTCAAGTAAAACTAAGTCGTCGGGCTTGTAAGTGACAGGTCTGCGGTGGCGGTCGGCGTTGAGTTTAGCGATGATGTTCGGTTTTTTTATTGCGTCTACTGCCCGGGTCCGTGCTGCTTGTAATATTTCGGCGAACTGTTGTGCTCGTGGTACTGGGTTGTCGGGATTCGGGGTCATGGGTACTGTCGGGTCTTGTCCGTAGTTTAGGTAAAATGGTGACTGTTGGGTCGTGGCGGATGGCGAGTTGTTGTACGCGAATTCGATTAGTGGCAGTTGCTGTTCCCACGTGGTCGGGTCGTCACACGTGGCCCTGATGAGCTGTTCCATGGTCTGATTTGTCCGTTCTGTCTGTCCGTCAGTTTCGGGGTGGTATGATGAACTGAACTGTAGTCGCGTGCCGAACTGCTGCCACAGATTCCGCCAGAAGTTGCTGGTGAATTTCGTGTCGCGGTCGCTGATGATCGCGGCTGGTATCCCGTGCAGTCGAACGACGGTGGAGATGAAGAGGCGTGCTGTTTCTTCGGCTGTGATTGATTTTTTGCAGGCTGCGAAATGTGCCATTTTCATCAGTCGATCGACGACGACCAGGATCGCGTCGTTCCCACTCGCCCGGGCTGGTAACCCCGTGACGAAGTCCATCGTCACCTGATGCGAAGCACGCTCTGGGGGTGGTATCGGCTGCAACTGTCCCGCCGGCCGCTGTCGTGATGATTTCATGAGCTGACAAGTGGGACACGATGCCACGTGTCGTTGTACGTCGGTCAACATTTCGGGCCAGTAATAATACTGCTGCAGCTGCTGCCGTGTCTTTTCTACTCCGAAATGCCCCGAGGTAACTCCGTCGTGTGCCTCCTGTAACAGTAATTCCTGTAGCAGTGTATTGTCAGATTTATATGACATAGCTACTGTAGGCTATAGTGGGGTAGCACATATGGGGTATAGTTTTCTAGGGTTTGCATTTGTACCCAACTTTCCGTTAGTCAATCCATTCTCGTTCAGTTTCTCATGGTATCGAGCAGGTTCCCCTGTGGGAACTGTTCCTAGGGCCCACCACCTTTTTTTTCCTGCCCGGAGCGCGCTCTACACTGCCCGAGTCGCGCTCCCCTCTCTCGACCCTGTCGCGCCGCCTTAGCGGCCCCGTCGCGTCGCGCTTGCGGCCCCGTCGCGTCGCCCTCGCGGCCCCTTCACGTCGCGCCGCCCTAGCGGCCGCGTCGCGCCGCCCTTGCGGCCCCGATCCGCCGCCCTCGCGGCTCCTTCGCGTCGCGCCGCCCTCGCGGCCCTTTCACGCCGCCCTCGCGGCCCTTTCTAGCCGCCCTCGCGGCCTCTTCAAGCCGCCCTCGCGACCCCCCCCTCCTAGCCGCCCTAGCGGCCCCGGCGCCGCCCTTCCCTGCCTCGGCGCCGCCTCTGCTGGCCCCGTCGCCTACCCCTGCGGCCCCGGAGCTGCCCTTCCCGGCCCCGGCGCCGCCTCTACTGGCCCCGACGCCGCTCCACCCGGCCCCGACGCCGCTCCACCCGGCCCCGCCGCCGCTCCACCCGGCCCCGCCGCCGTCCCCACGCGGCCCCGCCGTCACCACCGAGCGGCCGGCGCCGCCGAGCTACT